AGTGAGGTTCAATAGAGAACCATAATTAACCAAGGAACCAATCTTTTTTTCAATTTTTAGAACTTATTTTTTATCCAAAAAAAAAAAAAATTAAAAATACAGAAATTCATAACTTTTTATTATTTTTCAAATGATATCAAAATCGTCAAATTCACAATGTGAATCAAAATTTATACGGTGAATCCGAAAAATATATTTAACATTCACAATATTAAGTTATGAATTTAGATATTTTTAGTTTTGTTTTTCAATAAAAATAAGCTCTAGAACTTGAAAAAAAATTTGATTCCTTGAAGAAACAATAATTATGGTTTTCTATTGAACTTATTTATATATATATATATATATATATATATATATATATATATATATATATATATATATATATTAAATCACGTTGTTGCAATTTAATGACGTAAATTATTATAAGTGTTACATAGTTTTCTTTAATAGATCAATATTACCTTAATAGAATAATAAACTTATAAAATATAAAAGAGTAAAATCATGTATAAACGTAAATTAAAGGGCTACAAGTGAAATTCATTAAATATATTCTTGTTTATGAAAATATGGTAGTTGAAACCATGGTTGTTAAGATCCTGATCGCAATCTTAATCTTAATATCTTACGAATTTATGATCTTGCAAACCAAAAACAATACCGATCTCACAAGGATCTATCTGAAACAAAAACTTTAGTGAGATCTTAGGATCCCGACTAGGATCTTAAGATCTTAATACGATCCGATCTCATCTCTACAGTTTTATTATATAGTCGAACCTAATATTTTTTTTTTCTAATCAAGTTGAATCGAATATTGCAAGTTGCAAAATCCTTATAGACCATCATCACTTCATGACTTCATTTCAAATCAGCTATATTACACTTATGATATATTCCGTTTGTGATCTTAAGTCTATAGTTGTATACCATAATTATCTTATTTTTTTGTAATTAAGATGTTTTTTTTCATAATTTTTATGGTTTGCGTCAATAAAAATTATGATTAATGTTCAAAAAGTTAAAATTACTCAATATTAATATCTTAATCGACATCAAATTATCACGTTATAATGTATATTGTAAACCCAAGACCTTACAAACAAATTTAAATATATTGGTTAAGATCGTAATGGCTGAAATTATGTTAATAGTTTTTTTTGTTTTGACTTTTTTTTTCACGTGTTAGTTAGTTTATAGGCTATAATTTGAATTGTAGGCTGGATTTAAAAGAAAGTTAGGTGTGGCAATAAATACCCCTATACTATATATATTCACACATGATGGTGATGGTGATTGTTGAATGCATTCGAGATAGCGCTCTCATAAACCCAAAACTCTATTTCCCATTTTTCTAGCTCTCGCTCTGCACTCTCCCCTTATTCCATTAAAGCAATGAAGGAAGCTGAAGAACAGGCAACAAATACCATTGGTAAGTACACTCTTAAGTTTGAACACTTCATAATTATAACTGTTGCCTCTTTTCTCTAGCAAAATTTATGCAATAGTGACTTGTACCTTGTTTAGGAAAAGTTGTACATAATATTTGACATCATGTGCACAATTTTTATTATCTTTTTGGCATGGTAGTAAATAAACTAGGAGAGTTAAATAAATTAGGAGAGTTTGTGAAGGGAAAATCAATGAGTGTCAAATTCATAGCAATCATGCAATATGACTAGCACAACAGGGTGTAAAACTTGCATATTAACGAAAATTGACTATCAAGAAACTCTAGTGATTTGCTTTTACTTGATGAATTTTTTTTTCTTTTTTATTAAGATTTTCATATTTACATCTTTATTTTAAGATATACCCCATCTAAATCATATCATATTATATTAATTTCAATGAATAGTATCCTTTTATGTTTTTGGAGTTTTGCCACAAAAGTTTAGTATTTTGTAAGATTCGGTCCTTATAATTTTGTGTTGTACAGAAAACGCCCCTATAAAGTTTTTTTTTTTTTTTTTTTTTTTTTTTTTTTTTTTTTTTTACAAAATAGTCAATTAGTTTAAGGTTTTTGTATGTTGGCATGTAGAAAACAAATAACAAAAAATTATAGAAAAGGTCTTTGTGCAGTTTTTTTAGAGAAAAACTCCATATGTTAAAAAAAAACTACAAAAATGCTCTCTACCTGACACAAAATTTATAGATAATCGACTGCGTGTCCCTGTGTCTTTCGCGAAACGGTATGTGGTTATTTTCTATATATATATATATATATATATATATATATATATATATATATATATATATATATATATAT